CCCCCTTTCCCAGTCCAAGTAGGAGAAGAAGGAAGGAGAGGGAGAGGGAGAGGGAAAGAGGGGCCGCGCCCCCTCCCCTAGTCCTATTTAGACTCCCCTTGGGGGGGGGGAGGGGCACCTCCTGGCTGCTGCCCTCTCTCTCCCCTAAGGCCCACTAAGGCCCATTACTTTTTCGGGGGTTCCGGTAACCCCTCCGGCACTCCGGTTTTATCTGAAACTATCCGGAACACTTCCGGTGTCCGAATAACATTGTCCAATATATCAATCTTTATGTCTCGACCATTTTGATACTCCTCGTCATGTCCGTGATCTCATCCGGGACTCCGAACAACCTTCGTTACATCAAATCACATAACTCATAATACAAATCATCATCGAACGTTAAGCGTGCGGACCCTACGGGTTCGAGAACTATGTAGACATGACCAAGACACATCTCCGGTCAATAACCAATAGAGGAACCTGGATGCTCATATTGGTTCCTACATATTCTATGAAGATCTTTATCGATCACACCGCATAACAACATACGTTGTTCCCTTTGCCATCGGTATGTTACTTGCCCGAGATTCGATCGTCGGTATCATCATACCTAGTTCAATCTCATCACCAGCAAGTCTCTTTACTCGTTCCGTAATGCATCATCCCTCAACTAACTCATTAGTCACATTGCTTGCAAGGCTTATAGTGATGTGCATTACCGAGAGGGCCCAGAGATGCCTCTCCGAGAATCGGAGTGACAAATCCTAATCTCGATCTATGCCAACTCAACAAACACCATCGGAGACACCTGTAGAGCATCTTTATAATCACCCAGTTAAGTTGTGACGTTTGATAGCACACTAAGTGTTCCTCCGGTATTGGGGAGTTGCATAATCTCATAGTCATAGGAACATGTATAAGTCATGAAGAAAGCAATATCAATAAAACTAAACGATCATTATGCTAAGCTAACAGATGGGTCTAGTCCATCACATCATTCTCTAATGATGTGATCCCGTTCATCAAATGACAACAAATGTCCATGGATAGGAAACTTAACCATCTTTGATTAACGAGCTAGTCAAGTAGAGGCATACTAGGGACACTCTGTTTGTCTATGTATTCACACATGTACTAAGTTTCCGATTAATACAATTCTAGCATGAATAATAAACATTTATCATGATATAAGGAAATATAAATAACAACTTTATTATTGCCTCTAGGGCATATTTTCTTCACTACGCTTTCTACACCGGCGAATCAGGAGCTGTTGCTTGAGTATAGAGCGGCCGGGGCTTTTGCTGGCGCCATTGCCGTGGATCAGGCGAACTCCCACCGCCGAGCCTCAACATTTGGAGGGGTTGAGTAAGTTTTATTTCTTCTCTTCATCTACTCCTTGACTTGAATGGAGCTAGTTGTGGATGCCAGAACTTCGGTTTAGTTTGAGGTAGGGCTAGGTTCGTTGGTGGTTCATGAAATCTTTAGTTAAGTTTGACAATATGTTAGTTTAATGCAGTAGTGGTTCAGATAGTAGATGTATTTAGTTGGATGAAGTAGTGATTCAAATTACTAGATGGATTTTGTACTTGCATGGTTCAGATAGGTTTTGTTACTGAATTTTATTACTCATTAGCTCTGCAATACTGAATTTTGTTACTCAGCGGGCTAAATATGGATGCAGTTATAGATGTAGTACTATTTTTTAGTCAGTGGGCTAAATATGGATGCAGTACTATTGTGCCACTACTGAATTTTGATGCAGTAGATTTATTCAGTTAGGTTTTTTAATTTTGTACAAGTTAGACAGAGTTGTGAAGTAACACTGTATATAATACAAGCTAGATGATGTCATTTGGGAGGTGAGGCTGGATTTCCAGGGCAGAGACAACATGGAAAGAAGCTTCTCTCTTTCAAACATCACATTTCTCAATTTAATTGCACTTACTGAGACTGAAGGGTACGAGTTAGATGACTAC